TATTGTTTTCTCCGCACTTGACGTCAAATTTATTCTTTTGAAATTTTTACAATACAAAAGGAATTCAAAAGAATACATTTGACGTCAAGTGCGGAGAACGTAATACCTCAGGACTTATTAAAAGGGTGTATAGATGGACTGATATATGTTCAACACACTTTCGACCTGGTCCATTGTTCCTCTCATAGTTGTAGCATTGTTGTTTTTTTTTCAATTTCTTTTGTTCTTCCCAAGCGTCGATAGAAATACATGTGATCGTATAATTGTTTTAGTTGGCTTATGAAGTGTTTTGAGTGTTCATTAGGGAATGATGATAGCCATATAGTCCATAGACCAGCATCCCTGCAAGAAAATGCACTGAGTTTCTTCATGATTGTCAACATACACTTATACAGTAGAACCCCTCGTATAAGAAACTGGATCTTTCCCAGCCAGTCTAAACGGGTTCTTATGTAAATGGTGCCTAAGTTCAAATCAGGCTCTGGTAAAAATGATACTTGTATTGGTTGGTGTGGCATTTTATATCACTGATTTTATATCACTGGCACTGTCAAATAAGCTACATTTTCATGCCAGCTACAGAGAGAGAGCGCAAACACTGTAAGCACTCTTGCATCAGTACAGACTACTATATATTTTATTGTTTACATGAAAATAAAATGGAATGGCATTATATTTGTAAATTAAAATCCCTGAAATGGATCTTATGTGAAGGGTGCTTAAAATGAAAATTCCAGCATGACAGGTTCTTAAATGTTAGGCTCTTGTACTCAAGGTTTTCAGGTCACTCAAGAGTTTTTTGTTGTTGTTATTTGTTTGTTTGTTTGTTTTTTCATTGTGTTCAAGGTCCCATGTGTTAACCAAACCCTATGATAATGCAACCGGGTACGGCTATGATCTACTAAATTCTTTTGTGTTTGTGAGTATTTTTAAAGTTGCATTGTTTCGTAATAAGATCAGGTTGTCGACGAATATTGCACTTAGCTTCATGAAAGTTTATCAAGAAACTGTATAAAAAACTGGATGTACGCTTGGACAGATGCTGGCACGGATATGTAGTCAACTTGCCAGTTTGTTCAGTACATACCTACAAGCATCCACACGCTGAACCGAAGGAACGTCCAGGAATTCAAGTTGACAATCAGAAGAAAATTTATGAAAAGTGTCAGTATAGGAAGAAATGGGACCAGCGGGACAGTAAATGGGTACGACGCTGAATTAACAGGCAGTTTCCATAGGAATATCGTAGAAACCACGACAATAATTCCACTTATAAGTGTCAATATCAACGTCAAAACACTGAATGAAAGGAATGCTAAGCTGATCATACTACAGAACGATATCAGCCCAATAGACAAAATAAAAGTTATGACTCCAGCTTGGAAGCTTGACTTATCTGTAGGCTGATTGTCTTTTGGTGCATCTTCTGTTTGACATTTCTCGGTCTTTTGTAGATTTCGGATGAAAGTCTGGAACCAATTAACATTTTGTTTTCCTTTATCAACACTTTGGATGTTACATTGATATCGAGTGTGCAAGACACCTGCGGCAACAAGTGTATAGGCGATCAACGTTCCAATCGATAACATTTCTACCAGCTGCTCCAGGTCGAGTATGACAGTCAGTATACCTAAACATGAAAAAAGGCATTAACTCTCGCATAATAAAAACATAATAGCATGCTATTAGTAAAACTAGTAGTAAAACTGTACGCGTAATTGGCGATGGGGCTGATATTGGCGAGTACAGRTATAGGAAGATGATAGAATGAGATTATGATGATGTTGATGACAGTTATAATGTTGATGGCAATGATTAAAAGTAGATTCTGTAGCAATACCTATTATGGTAGTTGAGCATACCAAAGCTCGCACTGGCACGTGAGTTGAAMTGTGAATGACATCTAGCTGTTTGAACAACAATCCATCCGCTGCCATAGCATGAATAATTCTCGGTGCACCAAACGATACCGAGAGTAAAGCGCCCAGCGTAGAAAAGATCGCTCCACATGCTACCACATACTTACCAGCTTTGAATCCCCGACTGACGAATGCTTCGGTGAGAGGAGCGAGTTTATCTAGTTGGTTGTAAGGCTGCATCATTGTCAGTACGGTAGAAACTCCAAAGTACGCCAAGAAACTTATTGCGATAGTTATCATGAGAGCTCTTGGGATGGCTACTTTAGGGTTAATTGCCTCTTCGCCGGCCGTACCAATAACGTCAAAGCCAACAAATGCATAGAAGCAGCTGGCTGCGGCTGAGAATACACCCTGTATACCGTACGGCGCAAACCTTTTCATCGTCGACCAGTTACTGATATCAGCGTAGTACGCGCCAATGCATATGATAAACACGATAACTGAGATATTAATTGATATGACTATCTTATTGAAGACAGATGTGTACTTTATACCTAGACCGATGATCAAAGCGATTAAAAGCACAATGCAAAGAGCTAGGAAATCAGGGAAACTCCCCAAAAACGGACTTTGCCAAGTTCCGAATCTAGTCGCGAAAAAATGATATACTACTCCGCCAGTTATGGAATTAATGTATTCACTACATGCTCTACCAATACTTGCGGCAGCGATCACATATTCGAGAATCATGTTCCAGCCAGCAATAAAAGCCCACATCTCTCCAAGTGAGACATAAGTATACACGTAGGCCGAACCGGCTGTGGGAATCCGGCATCCAAACTCAGCATAGCAAATTCCTGACAAAAGTGAAGATAACGCCGCCAATGCAAACGAAAAGATTACTGCTGGACCAGCCACATCTCTTGCCAGTTTTCCAACAACTACATATAATCCCGCACCGACAACAGACGCAATGCCAAGGGCTGAMAGATCCAGTGTTGAGAGACATCGCACGTATTTGGTTTCCGTAGATCCAAACCCTTCTGGTGAACGTTTTCTTAAGAGACCATTGAAGAGGGACGACATGTCGTCCAAGTGCAGTGTAAGCTGTAACTATAGTAAAGATCTTTAATGCCTTCTTAGACGTATTTTAGAGAAGATTCATGTATTTAATAATTGAATGTTTGATGACCGCAACAGTTGACCGGTTCCTGTTAACGATGACACCTGCACATCACAAGTTAATTTGACCGTAACACAGGAAAATCGAATCACAGGACTTCTTAGTAGTTGTCAAGATATGAACAATGCTACTCTCGAAGAAGTGTCTTTTCGGCGGTAGTGGTAGATGCTCCAAACAGCTTCTTCTTTCATTACGGATATACAGAGGATCCCATGGAAGTCCATGGAATAATTCACGCTATTTGTTTCCGAATTCTCACTAGTATCAAACTTTCCTCTTACAGTTGTTTGAAAAGAACCATGAAAAAACCATTTTGTGACTTCAATTATATTTCACAGACTCCGTTCTAAATATATAAGAAAACAAAGGTAGGAATTTTCCATTTAGTGCTTCAAACCACTTTTTAACACATATAGGGTCCCCAGGTGGGTACCCTAAGGAAGAAAAAACGATCCCTACCCATAAGCCCCCATTTGCCTATATCCACGTGGGACTATGATGCATAGCCGGCTTTTTTCCTTGTGCTTCAAACCATCGAAGGTAAGTTTTTTCATCTGCCACAGTTCTGGTCCTTCAAAAAACCTCGAGGTATAACAAGGTGTTTATATTCGTCCTTTAGGAAACGTAATTTATTCATAAAATGACGAAACACCACCACGAAAGCGATCAACATCAGCGTAAACGAACAAGGTCGCACTCGTCTTTACGCCATAGAGAAGACCGTCCTTCTAAACGTGGAAAAGACGACAAGTCTGA